GCAGTGCCTCTCCAAGGAAACCTCTGCTCCCTCCCTTGAGACCTGCCCTAGGGCAGGAGGTATCCCCTGCATGGCTGGGCCTGGCCTCCCATGGGACAAGGCTGCAGCAATTCTGTTTACATGTTTTACAGCCTTCTCAGACAGGAGGCTTCACTTTCACAGGTGGCTTCTTGCCATGGCACATCCCCTCCTCAGGGGTTGCTCTCCACCCTGTCCCTCCTTTACCACCCCTCCCTTCTCAGCATTTTCTCCCCTCCCTTCTCACAAAACTTAGTTATCTAACCTGAGCATTTTTCTTCCCTTAGTCTGGTTCTTAATCTCAGAGGAGCCATTTCCCTCTGTCTGTTGATGATTGTTATTATTTCTGCTCTGTAAATACATCTATCATGATCTTTTCTTGCAAGGCGTGAGCAGTCACAAGTTCCTCATATTTTTCAGGGAACCTGTTTAGCAAGGATTCTGCAAAAGAAAGGTTCCTCTTCTTGTCCTCGAAGGTTGCAAGCATTACAGTATGGGGCACCTTGCTAATTGCAGCAGAAAACACTAGAACTATCAGCAGCCTAAAAAGCAAACAAGAAATAAACCCCCAAATCCCCAAACATCCTTTCCTGAGGCTGGACCGAAGCTCCTGCTTGGCCAGCCTGCTGAGTTGAGAAACACATCACATCCCATGGCTGGAATGCTAATTAATTTTGCAACTAATGAGCTGGTGATAACAAATTTACCACACTGGAGATGTGAAAGAAGGCACAGCTTTGATACACAGTGTCACCATCCCCAGTGGACAGACAGGATATCCCCAAGACAGGATATCCCCAAGGCTCTTGTGCTGTGCTGGTAGTTGAGGAAGTGTTTCACACCAAGATGAGTCTTTCCAAAGAATCAGCTCTCCATAGAGACCTCTCAAGGGTCAGGGATCAGGAAGGGCTGGCAGTTCCCTACAGGATGAGGAGTCGAGGATAACTCAGTCTGCAGGGCAGGGCTGTCCCATCCCACAGGACATAAGTGAGACCAGCAGCCAAGTCTGGGGATGGCAGCCAGGGCCAACCCAGAGCCCAGACCATTTGTGGTGACAGAACAGATCAAGGCAGGAACTCAAAGTGCAGGTCAGTCAGCTCCAGTGACCATGGTCAGACACAGTCTAGTGGTCACCAGGCAGGTCTGATGCCAAACTGGGAGGTCAGTCCATGGATCAGGGTCTCAATGTGAGGCCCTGTGTGGAGTGGTACATCTACACCACAGCTCAGGGAGCAATGGAAAGTCATGGACTGAGTTTAAATGGAGCTCCTGAACTCATGGGCAGGGCAGTGGCTGGAGGCCCATGAGAGGGTGATCAGGCTAATTACACCTAGGGCCCTGAAACTTCATCTCCACAGCCCTGGCCAGTATCATGGCCAGGCACTAAGAGAGATGCCCACACATCCCATGACATCTCAGCACCTGTGTTCATACCAGGTAGCCCAGAGCTTATAGATGAATTTTGCCACTGTCCCCTCTAAGTGCAAACTCCACAGCCTTCACAATAGCCATAAATGCCCCTTGACCTCCTCCCTCAGAAGTAAGAGGGATGATATTCCATATTACAGAGCAGCCTGTGTCTGAGGCATCTCAAGAAGGTGAAGCAATAACCAGGAACTGCTTTTCCTCCCCACATGCTGATGTGCCTTGGGGCAAGGAAAAGCAGCTGCAGAAGCAGCAGGGCACCTCCCAGCCCATCAGTACAGCAGCACGGATGCAAAGACAAACAAAGATGCAGGAAGTGATTATGCCTTCCGATAACAGAGCTTCGAAGCTGAGTAAGCAATTGGTGATTTGAGCTGGCGCTAAGCTTGGGGTTTTCATTACAGACAAACAACCTAAACCCAAAAAACACAACAGTGGCAGTTGTTGGTATCAGTGGGGAAAGTTAAATAACCTCCCCCAATAGATACTGCAAAAGTGGAACAAGTGGGGTAAGAGCGACAGTAGCATTAGAGGCTGGAAATTGGCCAAGACACAACTGGAGCACACACGCAGACACCCTCATCATTCAAGAGGAGAAGTTCAGTGTTCCAGGAGCATCATGGAATGCTCCCTTCCGGGTGACATTTAACTCTGTCTTCAGACACCAGACAAGAACACACTGCAATAACTGGAGATGTCCAATAATCCAAATCAGAAAAAGCTTTCCATTCTGCTGCTGAGCTGTATCCTTGCCATGGTACTCTCTGACCCTGGGTCAGAACATACAAGCTTACAGTCAGAAAGATTTAATGAAAAGCATGCAACAGCCAGAGATCCTGCTGCCAGGGGAGGAGGGGAAGAGAGAGCAAGAGAGGAAAAACACATCAAATGGCTTATAAAGAAAGAAGCATGTGCACTTCCCAGCAGCGGATGCAGTCTTTTAAGGCATCCCACTTGGGGGAGCTTCCCCTAACTCTGAGACTTTCTTGAAGGCAAAAGATAAACACATCATGGGGCCAATATAAGGGCTGTGCAGCTGCACAAGTCTCTTAGAAGGTCCCTTTTGTATTGCCTTGGCTTGTTCTTCAAGCTCAGAGGGAAGGTTAAGTTGAAGTCACCTGCTCTCTGATTCCCTGTGTACGCACTTGAGCCGTCGCAAAGGGAGAAGCAGGTTCTGCCAGGGACAAGATTTATGCACTTAGTCCTTTTGAAGTGAAAAATAAAGGAAAAAGTGCTGCTTTCAGAAAAGCAGCTCTGGGAATATGCATTTCCCCAACACAAGCTCCATGTAGACATGACATTTAACAGTCCTCAAAAATCCCTCTGAGGGGTTGTCAGACTTGCTCATAGCAATATGTGGGAAGTAGAGAGTCTGGCTTCTCATTCTGAGGAAACCAACAGCCAGCACTGCTCCTTTGGGTTGGTTGTGCTGAAGAGCAACTGAGACTGAGACAGAGACGTTCCCACACTTTCTAACAGAGAGCTTCTTTTTCATCACTAGCTCCTACCCCATCCCAGTACAGCTCTTACCCAACTCTCTCAATCCACCTATCCACTTACAGGCAGCTGAAATTTTTCAAGTAGATACAGCTTGTCAAAGATTACACTTCCAAAGTCCCACTGTAGTGCCTTCCCCTAGACCTCCCCTTTGCCTTCTGGCCCCTCTTGTGTCTTACTCTTCCCCAGAAATCCCCATTCCTCAGAGGATATTTCCCTGAGCAAGAAGAGACCTTCCCATTTACTGCTTATGTGGTCAGGGAGGGCATTAAGAAAATAACCACTGAGACAGCAGACAATTTAGGAATAGCCTGGAAACAATTTCTAAGGAGATCAGTCATCCTTAGGATGTTCTAGGAAGCTCTGGTTGTGCTGATGCTTCTTTTGCAGGACTAAAAACATTAACAATATTGTCTCCAGGCTTAAGTGTCTCAGAATTCCTACAGCAGCCATATGAGTCCACAGCAAGGATCCACCTACCACCACAATATAAACTATGGGTTGACAACTAGGAAAGAGGAAGTGCTTCCCTTCTCAAACACAAATAATTTACTTAACGTTAACCATTTTCAGCTGAAGAGATTTTTTTCAGCCTTAGAGGGTTGGTCTGTTCTGTGATCCCTAACAATCTTGGTTTCAAACACTACTGTCTTCCTTTGAACACAAGAATACAGCTTGCACCCACAACACCCTGTGATGTGAAGTTCTCTGCGTCTGCTACCTGGTATATCCAGAACCTGCTCCCACCATTTGTTTGAAATCTGCCCACATTTGTTGGCCTCCAATTCTTGCATGAGAAAAGGTAGGAATAGGCAGTCCTTCCCCATTTGCTTCATGCACCTCCAGATTTTGTTGGTCTCTGTTACATTCCCCCTCAAATCATCCCTTTTCCAGGCTGAAGTATCCCAGAGAGCTTTATTGCTTCTTTTATGGGAGTTTCCATGTCTGGACTCAGCAGGTCACCCACAGCAGATGGGACAGGGTATGGTGCTTTCCCACTTTTGGAGTACCCTCTTCTTCAGAAATGAATTTGACTTGTGCTTTCACAAGATTTTTACAGAAAAGAAAGAAAACATGGACAAATATTCCTTTTCTATACTCACTTTTCCTTCATTTGAAATCAAAGGCAATACTTTAAAAGCAGAACAATTTCTCTTCTAAAAGCACAAAAATCCCCTTCTCAGAAGAGCCAAACAAAAGATCATGACTCAGACATGGAGCTTTAACTTCCTCATCCTGTGATCCATTCCTTTGACCTCCAACATTCTCTGCTTCTCTGAGGGCATCATAGGTCTGCCTGATCTCCAATTGTTGGATTGATCTCGGAGATCCATGGCACTTCTCAAATATGTTTTGGTCAACTCAGCATTCAGAAGCAGCACCTTGGAATTGGAAAGTCTGACCTTGCAAATGTGGCTTTCTTTTACACATAGGATATTTGCGAGAGTAGGGAGGGCAGGGTAATGACTGGTGGAGAAGGTGCTGTGTTTACAGAATACAGCCATCAAAACTGCTCTGGCTGTCCATGGACTTCAGGGACCACTCCCCTCCAGGGCATGCCAGAGGGATTTCCTGGCTAATACCAGGTAAGGAAAGATTTCTGTTGAATAGCTGCACGTTAAGATGTATTTTATAACCCCTTGGTTAGCCCAGAGGAATTCACTGGCTGTCAGAGGATCAACACGTCCACAGTGCTGGGATGCCTTGGTATTAAGTTACAGCTTTGGCATCACCCTTAAGTTCAGCAAGTCAAAGGAAATAGTTGCAGATTGTTTTATTTACTGAGCACCAAACAGGTAATAGGATTACAGACACGTAAAATCAAATTTTTAAAAACTACAAATGAACATTTAGAAGGTGTCTCACATTTTTTAAGGATTCAGCAAACAAAATCTTGATTAGTTTAGTACAGTCCTTCACAGTAAAGTTGTTTTTGTCATACAGGGTGTTTCAAGAGGTCCAGCCTTCCTTTCACAGCCCATGGGCATTCCAGAATCACAAGGATTAAAAACCACTAATTTCCCAAATCTCAGGTCAAATCAAGAAAGAGCTTTGGATCTTCCAGTCACTAGATCAGTCTGTTCTACATCCTTCAGAAACATCCATGCCCCTTGCAGTTCTCCCAGGCCCAGACTGTGAATGCAGCAAGGTTCCTACTGCTCTGGGCCTCAGCTGAGCTCAGGGTTAATCTGACCATGACCATTCTCTCCCACCTGGTAGAACAGCTCCCAGTGGGTGCTCTTGCTTCCAGCAAGAGCCAGATGATTCCCCAGCTCTTACATTTCCAGAATGGTCTGGAGACAAATTCACACAGCCAAGGCTGAAAATCAGTGAGGAAGCTCTCCAGATGAAAGCCTGTGCAACCAAAAGGAAATCACATTATGCTTTATGATGGCATCGGGTACTTTATTAAAAACAACATAAGCAAACAAAAGGAGCAGCAGTGGAAGGAGAAGTTTCTGGCCATACTGCCACCAGAAGAAATGCTCAGCAAGCCTTCACCTCAGCAGGAAGCCTTTTCAAAAACCAATCCCTGCTTCACATTGGGCATGAACTACCACTCCACATAATACAGAGGTATTAAGGCATTTATCCTGTTGTAATCTTGATTGCCATCCACCAGCTCAGAGCAATGTGTTAGGAAAGCAGAGTCAAGGAGAAGGAAATAGGGATTGCTGCAGAATAGCAATATTTACACTAAAGAATACTGAGTGCCCTTAAAATTACAATTTTTACATTTTTAGATATAAAGAAGGCAGCAGGAATAAACATATTGGTCTCCTGCATAAAAATGTTCTTATGTCCCAGATTTCTTCTGGCTGAGATAACAAGACATGGATTCTTCAGAGGCTTCAAGAGACAGAACCACCACTGTATCCCTTGGTAATTGGTGCCAATAATTATTTAATTGTTGCTATTTAGTCACTGTTAAAAGCACATACCTTCTTTTTCTAGCTCACATTTATCTAAGTTGAATTTCTAGCTGCTGGATCACATTATGCTTTCATCTGTTTTTCATCCACACACAGGCATTGCTTTACCCAATGAAATTTACCCCTGCATTTTAAGCTGACACAGCAAATGACATTCAACAGTTTTGGTCAGGAAGGAAAGGATCCTGAATCGTGCTGCATGTGAAAGGCTGCCACTGAATTCAGACAACCAAGTTGAAAGGTGACATCTGCTCTGTAGTTAAGGCTTGCTTAGAGCAATAAGGACAAGCATCATCCCCCCAGATGTTTCTGGAGCTTTCTGAAGGGGTGGCCTGAAGCAGCAAGGCTGGCAGCAGTTGAATACTTTTAGTATTGCTGTTGAATTACTGCCATCATCAACTAAAGTTATGAGTATATGGGATAAATAAAAGCCAGCAAGTGCCATCAAAGTTGCAGAGAAAGTTTTGTAACCACTCCCCAAGGGGAGACACGTGGGCAGGGGTGAGGACATGAACCCCTCAGCAGCTCTGCAGGATGTGGCTGTGCTGCCATCCACGACTCTGACCCTGCTGCTGCTACTGCTGTGCTTGAGAAACAATGGCAGATTTACCCCTTACCTCAGAATCTGGGTCAAGCTTGAACAGTGGCTGACTTCTCCAGCTGAAAGGTCTCCTGCCCTGTGATACAGGCTCTCTGGAGGCTGATGCAGGGCACAGCACAGCCAGCTGCAACCAAACTGTAAATGGAGAATTCTGAGAATGTAAGTTAGAGTCCCATGGGTCTGGCAAGGGCCTAGAGAGGAAAAAAAGGAGACCTCAGCTCTCTCTATGAGCTGTGGTACAACCATCCATCTCCAGGACAGGGATGCTGTTCACAATCACAGTGGGAAAACATATTTGTAACAGCAATGCTCAGAACAGTCTGTCCCCCCCGCCCAGTAATGACACAATGGAGGAAGCAGCTGGTGCAGCCAAGCAGCACCAACTGGCATTATCGTAACACTCTGGGTTGTAAATTGTGTCAGAGCTGTTTTCTGTGCTGTTCAGTCATTCCCTTCATGAGGGCATGAGCCCCTGGGGCAGGGGAGCACAGATAAACCCTGGCCAGGACCTGCCCAGAAGGCCCCTGCAGCTCCATACCAGATCCCTGAAGCAGCAGCTCTGTAGCAGATCCTTGGACACCAGCAATGGATTGCTACAGTCTTAGAAAAACAGCTGCCAGGTTTTGCTCTCCCAGTCACAGCCCTGACACAAGCCACGTGGGCAAGATGAGTCTTGGCAAAGAGGGCAAGTCTGAGTGCTGAGATTAGGAATTTCCCCACTCGGGGCCAGTGGAGAAACAAAGAGCAAAGGGGAACCAGCCTGCTACATTTAACTGTGTGGTTAGACCAAACAAATATATTTTCCTTATGTCTGCTGTCAAGATGTGGAGGATTTTTTCTATAAAATAACTGACAGTGAGATATGCATGTGAGATATAGGGAGCAGGTCACTCTTCTTCACTGTGCCAATTAGTCTTTCCCAAATGACATTTCTTATTTTTAATTCTGGGTGCTTCTTAGTGTAAGAGAGGTTCCAGACAGGACTGATGCTTGGACAGCTGGGACTCTGCCTCCACAGCCCAGAGCCAGGACAAAGCCAGTCTTCCAGGAAAACTGCTCGTCACAGCCTAGGAAAATTCCTGCTTTCCCTTGTGCCTGATGCATGTGCACACACACACATGTCCCAGATCCAGCTGCAAAGCAAACCTGCTCTAGTTTGGAGCTAGCAGGCACAGGAAAAAAGCTGCAACCTGACTCTAAACCTCCAGTATTGATTGGGCCCAAGTGTTCCCCTTTCCAGAGACTTTCTCTCCACCCTCTCCCACATGCACCCCTTCAGTCACTGGATCACCAACTAAGCACCCCGTGTTTCCCAGCCTAGCAGGATGGAAAACCTGTCTGACAGCTGAAGTTCCTGCAAGAAGCATGATGAGGTGCTAAGAAAATAACTGTACTTACAAATTCTTTGGGCTGAAACAGCTGCTTTTGTAGCTGGATGGATTTTTTGGCTGGCAGTCAGCTCTCCCTAGAAGGCATCTCCACAAGACACTCCATTTACTTCCTGTTTCCTAGCAAGTCCCTGCAGGAAAGCAAAGAAACTGGGATTAAACATATATGACAGAGCCCAGCCAAGACACACAATCTGAATTCCCAGACAAAGTGCAAGATAAATATGAGCATCACAGAGGAACAAACGTAATATGGGCTTAAGTCTTGCATGAGCCCTCTGTAAATGTGATCTAACAGCAGGCTGCACCTTCCAGCCTGGCAGATTCCATAACTGCAAGAACTCACAAAGAGAGACACAAGGAATCAAGGATTTAGAAAGAGACCTTAGGGATTCACCACAAACTTGAAAGACATAGAACCCCTACACTCAAATGGTGGTTGGTGCACTGACATAAAGTAAATGGGTTCTCTGTGTCCCAACCCAGTTCTGCACAACTGGAGTTGCATGGCTCCAGGTTTTTGATTGGGAAGGGAAGAAATTAGAAACAAAAAACTTGCCTGAACTCTCCTCTCCCTGTCTGTCTGGGACAGGCACCCAGTGGCCCCTAACACCATAAGAGCACCTGATGTCTGAGTGACATTATCAGTGTACCTCCAGCTGTACTACAGATATGTCAACAGCAGGTTAAAGAAGGAATAAAGGAGTGAAGCCACGCTGCCCAGCTACAGCCAATCTTATAGTCTTAGTTTTCCCAAAATAGTTCTCTGGGCTCCTAGAACAACACTCCAAAAACTAGATTTCCTTTATAAGATTAACAAATCCAAGGGCTGCCTGCTGCCCATGAAGGATTTAACATCATACGTACCAGCAAAACTCTCAAGTGTGAGAACCTTGAGTATTGAAGTTGAATGTGGTTCTTCACAGGTTTCTCCTCTGCTCAGGAGGAGCCTGAGACTTGAGGTACCAAGCAGACACTCCATGTCCTGCTCCCCACAGGGGAAATCTCACTGAATCCGGTGGCATTGTCAGCCCAGCAGGAAGCATAAATCTCACAGGAAAGGCTATTCTAGTGATGCTTCCAGGAAGATTTTCCAGATCAGAGACATTTTGGGATCAAAGCCAAGGCAGAGCTGGCCAGCACCTCCAAGATGGCAGCTAAGTGGAAAATCTCCACAGTGGTAGAAAGAATAAAGGGTAGACATTTTTTTATGAAGTTTCAATTACTCATGAAAGCAATGGGAAGTTTTTCTCTCTCCCTAAAATATTACATTTGTTTTGGCAGTGGGGAAAAAGAATCCTCTCCCCATCATACAGGCATATTTCTGTACTCCTGAAGCAAAAGAGTTTACAAAAAGTGAAAAAGGAAAAAAAATTCCGCCACCAGAGTAATGCTTTTTAACAAGTATTTTTAGTATTCACCATGAATAGGTAATATCAAAGCAACCAAGTCCGCTTGATACTGTTGACACCTTTTCAGGAAGTAACCATTAGTGCCACAAGGACATTTTCGGTCATGCTGGCAGGGGGGCAGTGAGCTGCAGACAGCAGCTCAACAGACTCCACTCAAGGGCTTTGTTGAGCTGGGGTCTAAGCAAGGAAATGCTAAGGGAAGCCTGGAGCCAGAGCACTTCCTATGAGACAGTGAATCAAGACCTTCCCCCTCCTGTGAGTCAGTGTCACAGGAGGCAAATTGCAGATGCTTCTGGCTGGCTGGAGCTGCAGCCATGGCACTGCAGCAGACTGGCCCCTCCAGACACACGGACACAGGACAGAAGCAGGACAGGAGACCTGCTGGGGAGGGCCATGTTGCAGCTGCTTCTGTTCCAAAGCCTGGCTAGCATCAGTCATGCTGAGAAGTTATCAAAGGCGTAGCAGGCACCTCTGCTTCATGCACAAAAGTGGAAGAGAATAAGAAAGAACAGCTCAGGAAACTCAGAGGAAAGTACAAGGGATGAGAAACGCACGGGTCACAAAGGACATGTGCAAAGTGCACAAAAACCATGCAATTACCTGCTGCAGAAATGACAGCAGGATTGCCTCATTTCACAGATCCCTTGAGAAAACGCAGCCTCTGCCACTCCATCCTGCTTCAGAGGCTTTCTCTCATGCCTCTCCTTAGCCTCCTGACTGATCCTCTCCACCCAGCTCTCCTCTGTCTATGAGCAGAGCAGGGACACTACTGAAGAGCAAAACAGCTCATGTGCTTCTGAGAAGCCTACACTCCTTTCTAGTCACCAAAACAGCCCAAAACCAACAAGAAATGGTGACTTCATGGAAGAGAACAAGAGTGGGGAGAAAGGAAGATGGTTTACAAAGCCAGCCAAATATTAGAAAGTAAAGTCATTGCATTCACATATAACACAAAGCCTCCGGTTCAGTGTGACCACATCAGAGCCTGTGAGGATTACTAACAGGCTCTGCATGGGTTTGCTGCCCACACCCATTCAGCAAAGGGTACCCACAGCTAAGAGAACACGTGTCTTCCTCTTGCTTACTTATTTGGAGCTCTTGATTGGAAACTCAGACTCAGAAAACTAAGAGCAGCAATTTCCAAATACTTCTTAGGTGGTTATTCACACACTTGCAATGCTCCATAAGCATTCATCATTGCTGATTATCTTAACAAGCACTGTTTGCAAAGCAGAGGTGAAGAAATGGTGCAGGGACAAGCAGTTCCCATCCCATCTTAAAGCAGGCCCCACTTTTGTGTAGCATGGCTGAAGCACATGGACAAACTCTTCCTAAAAAGTTCCAAGGACAGACACCACAAGCTCTCCTCTGATTGACAATCTACCTCTTGCTTTGTAACCCTCAACTACTTAACAAAGCCTTCCCTCTCCAAAGTTTCATGTTGTATCAGATATAACAAGCAGCCTGCCTGAAAGAGGAAGATGCGATGAAACAGCAGAAAGAAAAAAAAAACACAAGTGCAAGGAAACGCTGCAAGTTGAATCCACCTCATGCAGTTAGCCTCAAGAACAAGAGATGAAACCCCAGCTCTGGCAAGAACCACAGGTGTCTGGCAAACAGTTTAAGGGCTGCTCAAGGTACTGTGCTGAGGAGGTGCTGCAATCTCCACCCCAGGATGGAGAGAGCACAAACTGAATTTAAAAAGCCATGGCTAGCTGCCCTCAGTACCCTCGGGGCACCAGAGAGTGTCCCCCCGCTGTCGGTCACTTCGGGGCTGCCCCCCCGCTGTTTGCCGACCCGGGGCTGGCCGGGGTTCACTGGGAGGCACCCAGAGAGACGGAGACAGCCATGGAAAGTGAAATGGTGAAGGGCTGTAAGTTTTCATCAATTCCCACTGCAGCGTTGGCTTCTGTGAGTAGCCCTCCAACACAGGAGACACTCCTTGTTTTCCTCTTTCACTCCAGAAGTTTTTCTCCAGCTGTGAGCTACTCACTGCTCATGTGCTTTCTCCTGAGCATCTCATCAGCAGCAAACAGCACTGCATGGATCGTGCTGGAAAGCGTAGTCTCCACTTCTTCTGTCACCAGGGAGAGTCCTGTAAGTTGCAGAAATTCAGGGATACCAGGGTCCCACCAGCAAAGGGAAGAAGGGGCACCAGGACTGAGTAAACCAGAGTGACTGGCTTAATGTAACAGCTGCCCAAAGGGCCAGTCTCAATTCCACTGTTAATCTGTCCTCTGCTGATGTTTCCAGCACTGGAGATGCCTACATGAGCCAAATTCAGTTCACTGAACTGACCAAAAATTAACACTACAAAAAAGACACTGCAGCATTGATGGGCTCAGTCACCTGGCCTGGCTGCATCCACCCAGTGCATGTGAGACTATTGCAATGAGTGCCCAAAACAGGTATTTTGAGCTGAAGGAGCACTGGACACTTACTCTCTTGAGAAACTAATTTTGTGAATGCTGAACAGACTTTGTGTGGGCTGGGCTTGCGTGCCACTAGTCCAGCAAAAAGCCATGGGATAGTCAATAATTCTGTGCAGCTCTTCCCAACTTTCCACTTATGTATTTTAACTTTTTTTGTGTGTGTGTGATTTAGAACAATCTCTTCCTACCTGTGCACAAGAAGATCCCTTCTCTGATGGGAGGGCTTTGCACATCATGGCAAACAGCAGCAAAGCCCTGCCCTCCACTGAGAAGTCCATCTCTACAGACGAGTGGTCACTCCGGCCTCACTGCCGGGTGAAGATGTTTTCCTCCTCCCACAAGAGATAAGCTAAAGGACCTGTACAAGTCACACTCCCTGCAAGGCAAAGCAGCAGCAGGTAAAGCCAGTGGATTCTCCTTACAAGGAAGTGGAACATTCCCTCACTTATGCAGGAGAACAACCATAGTCACCTGAAAGGTTGGGGGGAGAAATACTGTGAGGCAGCACAAGGAGATTACACAGAAAACCAAGAAATGTGTGGATTCATTGTATTTCTCAGGCTTGAGTTCCTAGAAAAGATTTCTTTCTCTGGTCTTCAGCAGCATGAAACATCCTTCAGATGACAGCAGCACTTCCAAAACTCTACAGCTCTTGGGGAGAGCTGGCAGAGCAAGTCCTGGCCACTTCCAACCAGGCACCTCTGGCTTCTCAGCTGCCACATTGCCTGTCCCATCTGACCACAAGAGAGCTGGGTAATTCATTTAGTTTTACAGAAAACTGTAAATTCACAGGGAAACATATGAAACTCTGCAAATTCCCAAATAATTCTGGCAATAAAAGTCTGAGGGTTGGAAACCCTCAGCTATTTTGAAGCAGCCATTTTAAACCACAGTTGCTGATTTCAGCTGACAAGATTACTTGGAGATTATATACTGACACTTGAACAAAGGCAAAATTTGAGGTGAAACCACTCAAAAGGACTCAAAAGGACAGTGGGGAGGTGTTTCTACTGGCGTACCTGCAAAGGCAACTGAAAGAAGTGACAGAAGCCTCAGCAAACATCAGTCCCTGCTCCCACCAGTCCTCCCAAAAACTCCCACTGAGAAATAGAAGTCACACCTCCTGGCTCTACTGTCCCTGGCCTCTGGATGAAAAGCATTTCTGGGTAAAAATAAAGATACTGCTAGGTCTTCCTTACATTTCCAAGTCAGAAAAAGGAAGGCAGGCCAAGGGCCTTGTCACAGGTACAAGTCACCACAGTATTACATCAGCCATAATGCCACAAT